CCATCGTTCGAAAATGCCCGATCCATGCTTCTCCTAGAAGAAGGCCGACAAGCACATAGCATTGAGCACGAGCCACCCTCAGCTTCGGCCCTTGTTGCCACCGTCCCAAAATCTGCTCCTACACCTTCTCCTGCTCCCCGTCCGCGCGGAGGAGGTCGCAGCAATTCTGGACGCGGCAAAGGTCGCGGAAGGCAGTCTGGTTTCCGGCCGCATGATCAGTCCGCATGGCCGCCACATCCAGGATCTCCATGGGCCATCCCTCCTTGGGCTGCTTGGATGCAACAGTTCTGGCCCACACCCCCATGTCCATACCCTACTGCCCCTGCCCAAAATACTCCGCCCCGGTCTTCTTCTGCCGGTCTATTGGGTCCAAGGCCACATGCACTTACTGCCGGGTATGGCTACCCATTTCCTGCAGGTCCCACACCACCTTTTATGCCAACGGATCTTCAGACCTCTATGAATACCATGTCTCTCAACCCCCCAGATGACAATTGGTACATGGACACCGGGGCAACTTCTCACATGACCTCGGACGCAGGTATTCTTTCGTCTTTTATTAATACGGGTCCTAAAGGTAGTATCATAGTCGGTAATGGTTCATCCATTCCGGTGACGGGTCACAGTCACACCTATTTACCTTCTTCATTTTCCCCACTTGAATTACGTCATGTTTTGCATGCCCCTCATATTGTTAAAATTTTAATTTCTGTACGAAAATTCACTAACGATAACCAAGTGTCCATTGACTTTGACCCTTTTGGTTTTTCTGTGAAGGATCTTCGTACAGGAACCCCACTCCTCAGGTTTACATAATTGATTAGTAATAAAAAAGTAATATGAAAAAATGTGATTAGTAACTTTTGGTGATTATAATTGTGTTCAAAGTTTACATAATAGTCACTACATCACAGTAAATTTTAACACAATAATAGTTACTAAAAGTTACCAAGTCACATTTTCGTTCACCTCTTCCAAGAGTAATTTTGATGGAATTTTATCAAGTTTTTTTTCTTTTATCAACACAAACCTCAACCATGTGATTTATAGTTTACTATTTCTCATATCGATCAAACTTGGCAAAGTTATATGGGATGAAGGAAGTAATTAAGTTAATGTTGCGAGTTAATGAGGGCAAAAGCTCAAATAGGTCAAATAATGTAGGATATACCACTTATAGAGTTGTAGTGGGGGGGAATCTATAACTAAATTGAACAATACATGTTTATTTATTGTTAGTTTAACTAATACTCCATACTACTTTTCCATTTTATAAAATTTGGATCATGATTTTGATTAGTATACTATTATAAAAATTATTGATTTTTATACTTCTATGAATTTTTTTTTACAAATACTACGTAATATTTTGACATCATTTTTAAATTTATAAATAATTTCAAATTAAAATATATAATTGATCAAATTTCTAACAATGTTTTTTTTTTGCGACAGAAGTAGCAATAAATTAAAATGCATTAAAAAATTACTGTGACCAACACTTAACATAAGTATCCAAAATATTGAAAAATGATAAGTATAGTCAGAGTTTTTTAGATGGATAGAGTGTAATTAAATAATGAAGTATTTTTATCGAAAAAATAATAATGAAGTGTGTTGGGATATTGGGGTTCGGCTCAGTAATCCGGCCCAAAATATCCTGGAAGCCCAAAAGATGTAGCAGAGCCCAACGAATATTAGACATAACAGTATACTCCAGAACGGGCTCTTGCCAACTGGGTATAACCCGTTTTCGGTGATTCCCGAACGGGTTAGATTTCATACTTTGCAGAAGGGAGCGTCATTCATGGCTGGTGATTACATTGGCCCAAAGAGCTGATCAAGAAGCCTTGGAAGTGGTGCATTTAATGCTAGAGTATGGGTGCTCAAGTGGCAAAGAGGCCATCCACTCAGGGTTGACCATGTCATCCATCATAAAGGGTTAGCATTTTGATACTCACTAGTAATACACATCATTCTAGATCTTGTATTAGCAGATGGACCGTACTCCCGTTCGGCCATTTCTCTGTAATCAACACAATTATACACTAATACAATTGGGTTATTGGATCATTACATTAGATTGATTTCCTTTCCTGATTACCTTTCATTAAAGAGTTTTTAATTGATATTCAAAGGGTCGTGTTGGGCCTTTGGATCTAGACGAATTAACCTCAACACTGGCGCCGTATGTTGGAACTTGAACTAAAATTCCAAGCAACTTACTCTACTCAGTAGCACTTCACAACTCGACAGCAAAATGGTTAGGATTTCATCTGAGCATGTGTACGACACCTATGATGATCTGGAAAGCAGGAGGAGGACATGCACCTAGACGACTACTGGGCATACCAGTAACGAATGGACGCAAGGAAGAGGCGGGGATATCAATAACTTGATTCCCGGGGAAGCTAGAAGAGACCCTCGAGTGATGAGGGAGTTAGCAGAGGCTATGTACAGCATGGTGGATGAACAGGACGAAGAACACACCATATACACGGCGGAGAATGAGTGCATGCCCCCCTCTCCGATCTGCTGCATGCAGTCATTTGACGGATGAAGCGGAGTCATCCTGCTCCTCGGTTCACACACGGATGGGTAGAGGAGGCCATAGAAGGGCAGATACGCCCAGGCACAGGCAGCATACTGCCACAGACCAGACACTGTTCGTGCCAATGCATGGGGCAAAGTTCAGGGAGGTGACTCTCGCGGTAAACCCCGTAAGCTAACGTTTCCATTATGTTGAGGGGGACGATGGTCGTTTCATACAAAGACATCACGAAATGGCTGCAGCCCGAACGGAGTTTGTCCCGGACATGGTGGACCCTGTGACGCCAGCCCAAACACCAAAGGATGCGGTGTTGGCCGCAATGCAAAGACAGATTGACGAACTGACCCGCCAACAGAACAGGACGCCCCCTCAGCCTCGTGTTGGGATAACTTCCCTTTTCACGATGGATATCATGAACGCCGAAATTCCAAGGGATTGTAGGCCCCCGGCCGGCCTGGTGTATAACGGGGTTGGAGATCCCCATGCATACCTGATGTGTTGCCAAGGTGGGCTTATGCTCTTGGGAGCCACCGACAAAGCTATTTGCAGATTGTTCTTCAGCACACTCCGGGCCCCCGCTCAGGAGTGGTTTAGTCAGTTGCGACCAAGTTCCATTGGAAGCTTTGCCGAACTTTCAACGCTATTCATAGCTTAGTTCGCCTCGAGCACCACCCCAGAGCGACACTTTATTTACCTTACTAGTGTTCGCCAAGGGCCAAAGGAGTCTCTCACCCCGTTCTTGACGAGATGAAGAGATGAAACCTTGAAGGTCGAACGACTCTCCGAATGCACTGGTATTACTCTCTTTATCAATGCCCTCCAGACCGGGGAGTTGTATCAAAATTTGAAGAAAGAATTGCGTACCAGTTACGTTACGTTGAGGTACTAGACATGGCCCAGAAGTACGCCGCTATAGAAGAAGAAATCATGGTTTGAGACAAAACTGCCTCGCCTGTACCCCTGAAATTGGCCGATCGGCTTAGGTGGATCCCAGTTGTTGCGCTAGTCCCCAAGACGAAATGCTTTATTCCGCTCGTCCTCTCAATTGCCTCCATCTATCATCACAATAAGGATATCATTTCACCCCCATCGGACCCTAATGCCTTTATGGGGAATGATGATGTTTATTGTCAGTATCACAAATAGAAGGGGCATGCGACCAAGTATTGTTACGGACTCTAAATATCAAGGAACTCATTCAGCAGGGCCACCTGGGAAAGGATGTGAACCATAACCCAAACGGGCCTATGTCAGGACGTCGGCAGAACAAGAGACCTTATAGCTTGAGGAGGGACGATCGACAGGAGGCAAAACATCAGAATGATGTGCACATCCAGAAGAACGAGGTAGGTGAAGGTTCGGGAGCTCAGGGGAAGAAACCCTGAATGGAGATCAAGGTTATTTTTGGAGAAAGTGAGACCGGGGATACCCCAGCTGAACAAAAACGATTTGAACGAGCACTATATGTTGGCTCCATATCTACCCCCCCCCCCAGAAGAGAAGCAGGATTGAGACCATCACATTTGGCCCATCCGATCAACCAGCTCACCTAGTCCACACACGGACGAGATGGTAGTAAGCATGAGTGACATTCATGTAATTTCCATGTTTATGTTTGTGTTTTTAATTAGTTTTGATTGATTGTTACTTTGGAAATTACACACTTTTGGTGTAATAGTTTAGTTTGTAAAAATATTTGTAATTTGTTTAGATTAGGTTTATTCTGAGCTCAAACAGGTCCAAGATCATTCAAGGGACCATTGGTGAACCCCAAAAGTGGAAGGAAGGTGCAAAAATGCAAGACAAAAAGAGAAGATCTCGTTTTTGGTCTGTACCCGGTCGGGTATGACCTATACCCGATCGGGTACCTTGCTGAAAAATTGAATCGGATCACACCCGAAGACAAAGCAACATGCAGGGAAGATTTTGACCACGTTCGGATGTCATACCCGATCGGGTGACCGACAGACGCGGTCGGGTATGACCCTATTTTCCAACTTCGAGGAAGCTGCATAATGTACCCGATCCAGTGAGCTGAAAGCCCGATCGGGTACACATCCCTGAATGCCCCAAATTGCTATAAATACACCCCATTTCCTTCACATTAAGATCACCAATTCACATTTTTTTTTACCCCGGAAGGTAAACCACCAAAATCAGTGGGGCAAATGCCGGGGGACATTTGCCATATTTTATTAATGATAAGAATAGTGCAACACGAAGAGGGCATTCCCTCTAAAATACACGAAAGAAACGATTAAAAAAGACAGACATTTTGGGGGGTTAGGCCTAACCCAAAATGAGAAAACACCAAAATTTAAGCACGTAAAACAGGAAAACCAAACAGATCAGCAAAATAACTCATCTTAACCAAATCGGGAAGTTGAGCCACAGAACTAAACCACATAATCTTGGCCGATTGAAGCTTTAGACCCGCCAGCCAATGGGCCGGTCCATTCCCTTCCCTCAAAACATGTCCGAACGTATACCCCTTCTCTGTTGCCTTCTTCCTGAAATCAGCCAACTTTCCTGAATCATCCACCTGAACCAAATGAATGGGGCGTAGGGCATCACCTTCCACCTGAACATCGACATATCCAGCATCCATCGCTAATTCAGAAGCCAAAATCAAGGACATCATCTCCGCCTCTTCACTGCACTGCGCGACTAGTTCAAAGCAAGCTGCCCAAATAAAATGACCAGATTGATTCCTAAGTATGGCTCCTCCCATGGATAAGCCAGGTTTGAAAGAAGCATCAAAATTCAATTTAAATCGTTGTTTAGGCCTTCTCCACTTTATGATTTGTATATTCGTGCTCTTAAAATTGAAGTTGATAGGAATCAATTTCTCTTGAATCAAAAAGCTATCCACAGGCCTGCGTTTGATTTTGGACAAACTATATGCCCATTTCTGGGTATAGAGCTTAATATGGAAAATAGTATCCTCAGGTTTAGGAGTAGCTTTTGAACCCCAAGTATATGCTGAATATACCTTCCAAATATGCCAGGCAATAATACCTGGCATATTATGTTTAAAAATATCAGCCATTGATTTTGATCCAGCTTCAATCCACCAGAGAACTAGAACTTGTCTAATCGAGGCCATCATTGGCATATTAATCCCAAAAATTGCCATGAAGTACTGCCATATTTCCTTAGAATAAGAGCAATTAAAAAATATATGGTCTGTAGTTTCACAGCTACTTCTGCACAAGGGACACCTTGATGGTTGAAGAATAAACTGAAATCTTTGCATATTTTCACCAATAGGCAGATATGAATGTAATAGTTTCCACAAGAAAACCTTAATTTGCATAGCTTGGTTCCTATGCCAAATATGTTTATCTGTAAATGTAACTGCTCTTTTCTCTCTAATTTCCTCAAATGCAGATGCCAAGGAGAATAAACCATGTATACCGGGATCCCACTGCATTGAACCAGAAGCGCTATAAGAAGTAAGATTTGCAGCCATCTCATGAACTCCACAAATCCTTCTCCAAATATTAGAATCTGTAATTTTTGGCCTCATATCCTCACCTCTAGGATATCTTGCTTTTATAAATTTACACCAGGGAGAATTGTTATTCTTCCATTTCCACCACAATTTAAGGGAAAAAGCTTTCTCCAAGTCAACTAATGCTCTAAACCCAAGACCACCCTCTTCTGTTGGGTAACATAATTTACTCCACTTGGCCCAATGGAATCGTTTGCTATCTGAATTGGACCCCCATAGGAATGAAGCCATTTTCTTCTCCAGTGTGGATATGACTTTTTTAGGAAGATGATCAATGCATCTGAAGGGTTCTCAAGAGGTTTGAAAGCAAGAATGGCACAGGGCATAATAAAGCCTTATTGGTTAGGGAGTGCAGGATATTCTGTTAGTCATTTGGGGTTTGCCGATGACCTATTGGTTTTTATTAATGGTGATTCAAGATCCACACTAAATTTTAAAAACTTTGTAAGTGAGTACCAGTCTGCTTCAGGCCAAACGGTTAATTTAGAGAAAAACAACTTTATCACTGGGAAGGGTGCTACTTACAGAAGTTCCACAATTGCTAAAGCTTTGGGGATGAGGAAATCTAGCCTTCCAATGAAGTATTTAGGAGCCAACCTGCATAAAGGAAGAAATAGGTTTCAGTACTGCTCACATATTATCAGGCATTTTGACTCTAAAATGTCCTCATGATCACCAATTCACATATACTCTTTAGCTCAGTTTAGATTAGTGTTTTCTTTATATTTTCTATCATGTTTAGTCTCCAAATGAGGAGCTAAACTCTTCTATCTTGGTTTTGCTACTTTGAAACTTAATGAATTTGTAAGTTGTGAGTTATTCTCTTTAATCTTTTTCCTTGAATATTAATTCTTCCTTTAAATACTATTTCTATATCAATGTTGGGGAGTGTTACTAAGATGACAATTAGTTAACATCTTCACATTAGTTATAGTAATAGTTATTTCTTCCTCTACGTTAATATTGGGGAGTGTTACTAAGATGACAATTAGTTAACATCTTGATATTAACTATAGTAGGATTCATCTTCTTTAATATTCTTCCTTGAGTATTAATTAATTCCTATTCATATTTCATATTAATATTTTGAACATTACTTAAAGGATCAACTACTTTTGTTTCATATATTAATTATTACTAGAATCGATCGACGAATACGCTTGTTAATCGTTCGATCGTTTCACGGTAGTAAATTTAGGTTATTAATGCATGTGTTTCATGGTTAATAAACCAAGGGGAATTAATTATGTTGATTAAACCAATAAACCGCTTGTGTTGAGGTTATCAATCTCAATCGTTTTCATCTTGATTTTATTGTTACTATCGGGTTAATATACGACGCGTGTTCTATATTAAATCGGTAGTAAGTTTTATTAATGAACGTGTCTCGTTATTAATAACTACCCTCGATGAACTGGATATACTCCTTGATTGAGTATTCAAGAGGAAGATAGTTAAAGATATAAATGGGATCGACGAACATTTCATTAAGTGGATAAAAGCAAAACCAAGTCTCCATCTCTATTAATTAAACTCATTTAAGTCATTCATCTTTGTGACACTCCTAAAATTTAATAAAAAGGATTTAAACAAGAAATAATTACATAAATATGACCAATATAAAGATGATATACAAAAATATGACTAGTGACTAGAGTAGTAATGAAATCATAGTAATTCATATTTAAGTTTTGAGCTTAAGTTACCACAACTCCACATTGTAGTAATGAATAGTCATAATTATGTAAATATGTTTTATTTTAGTAATATTCTTGTAAAAAACCCTTAATATAAACTAACACATGATAACTGTTAATTTTATATATGGATAATTTTCTTAACGTATGCTTCGGGACGAAGCATCTTTTAAGGAGGGTAGAATGTTACACCCCGAAAAATTAGAATAAAATAAATAAATTTTAATAGTGAGATAAAATGTTATGAAAGTCACATTTTAATAATTAAGGAAATCAGATAAATTTTTAACATCGGTGACATTTTAAATCAGATAAAAATGTTTCAATAATAAAAGTGACATTTTTATAACAAGGGATAACTATAGATATGACATAAATAATAAAAGCCTCTGTTCTAAAAATCGTTCTAGGCGCCCGACTAGTCCCCGCCTAGGCGCTAGGCGGTGGTCAGGCGCCCTGATTTTCGTCTAGGCGGTCCGACTAATTGGTTTGCCGACTAGGTGAGTTAGTCGGCCGCCTATGGCGCCTAGTTGCCCGCCTAGAGCGCCTGATCGGCCGCATAGGCCTTCTAGATTCGCCAAACATTACTTTACTTTTAAATTTTAATTTTCCAAGTGATATTCGCACTTTAACTTTAACCATGGATATAAAATAATGAAGTTGTAAATTAAGATAAAATTATATGTGTTTGTCTGTATACCTAAATTTTAACATTATTTATATTTATAATTTAATGAAGTTAAGTGATTAGTTATCATATACTACGTATGATTAAATGTGATAATTCTATCTTTCATGTTTGTTATTTTTTTTATCTTTCATGTTTGTTAATGTATATGTATATATGTATTTTATACACACAAAAATACAACATTACTTATCATATTTATGCAAAAATATAGATAAAAATGTAATTTCTATGTCTCCGACTAGTCCCCGACTAGGCGCCCGCCTAGCCGCCTAGGCGCTAGGCGCTGGGCTGGCGCCCGACTAGCGCCTAGCGCCTTTTAGAACATTGATAAAAGCCATATTTTAATTTGAAGACATGAGTAAATAAAATCGGTACAAATATACTATAAATACCATACGAAAACAACAATGTAGAAAGAGTTGACTTTTAAAGTCTAATAATAATGCATACTATATATTAAAATAATATGCTTGCTGTACCAATAATATAAGTGGTGCCTAGTAATAATAATATGAGACAAATGTATCTCACATACACATGCCCACCAACCATTCACATCGACATAGCCCATGTACATACGTGCATGCCTCCATGTGCATTTGTTTTCCCTTCTCATCATACATCTGAATAGTAATAATAATCATACATACATACATACTTAGATGAACACCCACACTAACAAATATAGAGTAATAATACGTGTAGCCCAGTTGTCCATTCCTTACCCATTCAACGCACCAGCAAGGAAACAAACCCAATACCTTTGACACAACTCACACAAGGCTATACATATATACTCCGTATGTGCTTCAGTCTTCGCTTCACTCAATCACTTCCTAACCAAGTACCCACGCATATGCCGAAGGAAGAAGAAAAGCCGAAGTTCCTGCCACCGGACCTGCTGCCGCTGAACGTCGCAGCAGTCAACTGAACCAGTCACCGAAGGAGGAAGGACTGCAGTACAACGTCGCTGTCCTCGCCAATCGCCATGACGCCATCTGGGGTGCCTGCCGGTTGCCGTCGGGAGAAGGAAGACGATCGCCACAGTCCGTTTTGCGTGATCAACGAAGAAGACAAACTTCGTATGACTCTTGTCTTGCTATTTTGTTAATTTAAGAGGGTTAGGGTATTTTGTTAATTTAATTGGCTTATCAAATGAATGATTAAATTAATAAAAGGCTTCACTAAAGATATACTACGTGGTTTACTTGGGCCGGTTAACGGAATATAGGAAGTGGATAGATATAAATAAAACTGGACCAATTGATCTCAACCTTATTAGTCAACCATTTGCTGAAAGGTGGAAAATTGGGTAAGATAGCAAAAAATAGAATAAATTACTGATTCTAGAAATTTAATATCTTAGAAGGTGAATTTGGAGAAGACCAAGATCAATGCTTCAAGTAGGATTTGTCGTGAATCGAGGTAAGTTTCTCTGCCGATCCAAAATGATTTCCTCGTATTATATGCTTATTATGCATTACATGATTAAGTGTGAATTTTGAATTATGTGTATGTGATTTTGAGGAGATATTAGATCTATGGTATTTGAGAAGTGCAAACGAAGTACTTTTGGGTATTAAATATTTTTAAATACCTTTGAGACTATTTAGAGAGATTGAGAAATATTTTTTTTGGAAGTATATCTAAAGTCAAGATAAAATTTACGTTTTCATAAGAAGTGAGCACCCGGGAGAAATCCGTGGTGTCGGTTTTCCACATCCGGATAAATGTGGAGGGTGATTAAGGCTGCTACTACTAAGAAGTACAGTTTGAGTTTGAAGTGACGTTTGGATCTATGATCCCTTTTAAGAAGAAGTTATAGTAGTAGTAGTCCCTAATCATTCAAGAATTCTAAAGGTGGGGTAGTTGGTAGACTGAGTCCCGATTACCCGTGACGACTTACTACTCGGAGGACTTGGAATCTCTTTTAGGGGGTGTGCACACTTAAGGTAGTCGTTTCGTTTCCATTAGCAGTTGTGGTACTGGCAAAAGTCCCGGGGTGGCCGTACATAATAACGTAACCACCGGGCTCAACCAGAGTGTTGAGCACCGCCCTTTTAAATTACTAGGAAGATAGAGAAGAAGTGAATTTTGAGAAATTCTAAGAGAAGAGTTACTATAGTATTTTCAAAGAAAAGTTGAGAACTTTATTAAAGAAGTGATTTTGAGAAATATCAAGAAGAAAAGGATTTTGGTGGAGTGTGTCATTTTTATATAGTATTATATGAAAAACTATTTTTAGCCAAACCTGATTATTTTACGGGCTTGGGTAGTACTTACTTAGCTCTAAAACTAATTTTTGTTCCCTTTTCTTTGTTTTGTTTTCTGCATTTTATTTGTGCAGGTGATGATGCTTATGTGGACTGATGATTGTATGACCACGAGAGCGGTTTAGAGATGCCTTAGTCAAACCTAGTCATAAATAAACAATCCAATTATGTTGAACACTTGTTTTACTTTGTTTGGTGATTGTCTGTGCATTCGGTTAAGAGATGACCGGATGTGGCGGTAACACTCATTTCCCAATTAATGTTATTTCCGCTGCAAAACTTTTTATCTGTTTGAAAGAATAAATCAAGTTATTATCAATAAATCTATTCTTTCAAGTATTATTTTGGGAGGGAAAATGGGGGTGTTACAATCTTAGTGTAGAATTAATTAAATCAAATCAAACATAAACCCCCCTTTTGTTACTAGTTTATTAAAAAGAGAAATATTCCTTTCCTTGTGGATACGAATCTTACTTCAATATACTACGTATATTTGTTGTATTGATAATTATTTTGAGTGCACACCACGACAAAGTGCACGTCAAATTTGGCGCCGTTGCCGGGGAAAGTCAATAATTTTTCTTTTTATTTTTATTTCAAAAAAATATATATAAAGAGTTCTTACTTTTTCTATTTCTGAGCTTACATGAGTATATGGTAAAAACCCGTTCTATAAACGAACTTACTTACCAAACAAATCCCGAAATAGAACATGCCTTCGAGAGGTTGAGAAATTTATCTCCGCACACACCCTCGGAGGAATCCTCAAACACTAGCTCTAGTTCTAGCGAATTCGAATAGTCATTCCACATGGCTCACGAAACACGAACCTTGAGGGAGCTCACAGCTCCAAACCTCAACCAACAACCATTGTGTATTACCCTACATTTGATGAGGGTAATACATTTGAGCTCAAATCGGGGCTTATTCATCTCCTCCCTTCATTCCATGGGCTAAGTGGAGAGGACCTGAACAAACATCTTTCGGAGTTCCACATCGTTTGCACAAGCATGTGCCCAAACGGTGTCACGGAGGAACAAATTAAACTGAGGGCCTTTCCATTCTCTTTGAAGGACACCGCAAAAGATTGGCTTTTCTATCTTCCTTCGGGAAGTATCAACACATGGGCTGCTATGAAAAAATGCTTCCTTGGAAGGTATTATCCCGCATCCATCTCATCATCTCTCAAGAAGCAAATAAGCAACA